CTAACTCGCAGACACCTGATTTAAAGGTTCCTCCAGGTAACTGACTAATGCTTGGGCCTAAAAGGAAAAAACAGGGGATTAGAAACCACATGAACATCGAACTGCAGGAAATTATAAAATTGCCAATTATAACAGCTGTGAATTATTAAAAAAAAACAAAAAAAAAAAAAAAAAAACTATTTAAAGTGTTACTAAACCAAATCAAAAACTTGACCACATATAACAAAGCCACAATTCCTTACAGTATGTTTTGCACCCCCAAGTGTCAGTGTGCCATAGTTCTTGAACCCCCCCTCCCCCCCCCCCCCCCCCCCAAGTGTCAGGATGCCATTGTTCTGGACTCCCCCCAAGTGTCAGTGTGCCATAGTTCTTGAACCCCCCCCCTCCCCCCCAAGTGTCAGGATGCCATTGTTCTGGACTCCCCCAAGTGTCAGGATGCCATTGTTCTGGACTCCCCCAAGTGTCAGGATGCCATTGTTCTGGACTCCTCCCCAGTGTCGGCGCGCCATTGTTCTGGGACCCCCCCAGTGTCGGCGCGCCATTGTTCTGGGACCCCCCCAGTGTCGGCGCGCCATTGTTCTGGGACCCCCCCCAGTGTCGGCGCGCCATTGTTCTGGGACCCCCCCAGTGTCGGCGCGCCATTGTTCTGGGACCCCCCCCAGTGTCGGCGCGCCATTGTTCTGGGGACCCCCCCAGTGTCGGCGCGCCATTGTTCTGGGACCCCCCCAGTGTCGGCGCGCCATTGTTCTGGGACCCCCCCAGTGTCGGCGCGCCATTGTTCTGGGACCCCCCCAGTGTCGGCGCGCCATTGTTCTGGGACCCCCCCAGTGTCGGCGCGCCATTGTTCTGGGACCCCCCCAGTGTCGGCGCGCCATTGTTCTGGGACCCCCCCCAGTGTCGGCGCGCCATTGTTCTGGGACCCCCCCAGTGTCGGCGCGCCATTGTTCTGGGACCCCCCCAGTGTCGGCGCGTCATTGTTCTGGGACCCCCAGTGTCGGCACGTCATTGTTCTAGACCCCTGAGTGTCGGCGTGTCATTGTTCTAGACCCCCAAGTGTCAGTGTGTCATTGTTCTAGACCCCCAAGTGTCAGGGTGTCATTGTTCTAGACCCCCAAGTGTTAGTGTGTCATTGTTCTAGACCCCCAAGTGTCGGGTGTGTCATTGTTCTGCAATCACTAGATATTATTTTGGCACACCAACTATCAGTTTCATTATTTTGCCATGTTTGGAACTCCTCGTATTTACCCTTGATGGCTAACACTGTACATGGATGCAATCTGGCAGCAGCGCCTTACCTTCGCTTTCAGCATGCCAAATCCAACAGTCTCCTTGGCATACATGCACAGCAGCAGGTTGGACACTCTTGTAATCGCAACACGGCCTTCCTGCAGGGGGCAGCAACAGACAAGTCATCAGACAAGGCAATAACTCCCCTACCAATGAGGAGCAACAAAGGATACAACACTGATATCCCAAAGTTCAATCAGTCCACTGCCATGCCAGATCCCCTTAGAGAGAGAATAGATATTAAAGCAAAGCAAGATCTTAGAAATTCACAGTCACCTACTTTTGTGATCCTCACCCTGCTGTGCCATTTACAGATTTTCAAAGCCTGCAGTTCTGCATTCCGCCGTCCCGTCTCCCGCCATCCACTGCTATTGGTTCTGTCCAGGGGGGGACTGACCGTTTGGAAACTCGGGCACTGCCCGAGGGCCCGGGGTCAGTAGGGGGCCCCATGAGATGCCCCTGGTACCTTTTTCATAGTCTTTTTTGAGTTTGGGCAAGGACACAGGGGCCCCATGATCCCCTATTGTCCGGGGGCCCCATGAGTTGTCAGTCCGCCCCTGTTTGCGCCCCCTACCTGTGACTTACAGCAGAGTGGCCAGCCAATAACCTCGATGCAACGCCGTCACGTCTGGGTTACAGGCTGGCTAGAAAGGACAATAAAAACCTCTCAACAATTTTCACAAATCCCCCCCCCACCACAGAAATTCCCGAAAACCCACTACAGGCTTTGCCCGAATCCATGGCTCGCGCACCTCTCCTCCTGCCATATCTGCTCCAACACAGCCTGGGTACCCCGACACCAAAACACACCCTAAGCTCCCGCCCTGATTGCCGACTCAGATCCGATCCCCGATGGGTGACAGCAGCAATGGAACGGGTGTCCAGGCGCAACCTCCAAGGAGAGAGCAGGGAGGACAAAGCCGTCCTGTCACATCGCCGTCGGAGCGGCACTCAAGAGACCGGCTGATGGAGAGGCAGCGGCTGGGTGCCCTGGTGTTCCCCGACTCCCTGCACACAGCAGTCCTTGTGCAGGCCATAGACCGGTCGAACATCAGCCGATTTTTCAAACGATAAACGAAAAATCGGTTGTTCGTTAAGCCGACATTACCACCACCGATTCCAAAAATCGGCCGACTTAATCATAAAGTTCACCTCATATAATAGCCAAACTTCTGTTCCTTGCAGGTCACGGCTCATGCGCAATTTTTTTTCCGTTAAAACGATCGTCCGATTCGGCCATCATTGCTGTGAAAAATCAGCCGTTTCCAAACATGACCCATAATCTCTAAGTGCAAAATACCCGAAACCCGGCCGACCAATTAACCCACTAACAGTGGGAAAATCGGCCAATTTTCGAACCGCCTATGGCCGGCATTAGTGCTGGTATGTGAAGAAAAAAAAAAAAATAATAATTTAGCTCTGCTGCGGCGAAGCACCATAGTGACACTGTACTACTTGTGGAGGGTGATGAAGATTTTTTTTTTTTAACATACTGTCACCCTAGCAGTACAATGTCACCATGGTGACACTGTACTACTTGTAGGGGGTGATGAAGATTTTTTTTCTTTTTTTTACACTGATTGCTTTTACACCCATAAAGCCTGTAAAAGCAATACTTTCTCCTCTCTGGCTGCATTCCTGCAGTCATTGAAAAATACTGTGTGAGCTGTGATTGGTCACAGCTTGTCACATGGTACAAGGCTGTTGTGAATAGCCCTGTACTATGTTATCTCTGTGATCATTCACAGATTTCACACGTAGTAAGCAATGATGTCAGAAGTGACATCTTGCTAACCCCTCTTCATGTAATCACTGATTGGCCAATCAGTGATCACATGATCGGGACCTCGCACAGAGGTCCTGTACAGCATTTGGTCACCGGATTGCGGTGCCGCAAGCTCCCAGGGAGCGCGCACAAGCAGTGAATGCGGGGGGCCGTTTATAAACGGCGACCAGCTTCAGCACTGCTCCCGTCCGGCCCGTGTACATAAAGTGGTTAAAACAGAAATTTAAAAACATTGGGGTTTTTTCTGAAAATTTTTTTGGCCTTTTTTCGTTTATATAAGAAAAAATAAAAATCCCAGTGATGATAAAATGTCACCAAAAGAATGCTCTCTTGTGTGTGAAAAAAAAAAAAAAAAGAAGGACACAAAATGTAGTTTCCATACAACGTTGCATGAGCGCGTAACTGCCAGTTAAAGTAGTGCAGTGCTAAATAGCAAAAAAGATGCCCTGCTCATGAAGGGGGGTAAAAACCTTCCAGAGGTCAAGTGGTTAATATGAAATAAATCCAAATGCCGGGACAGTACAAACATCCCCAAATGACTCCTTTTTGATACCCCAAGTTGGTTTCATTTCAAATGAAGAAACAAGCAGCTATGGGGTGGTAAAGGTGCACTTAGCCTTTAAATTTTGTCCACTGCACTCAAAGAGTACCAATAAAAAAAACTCTCCTCCCCCCACCCAGTCATTGGTGGTCAATGGAATTTTTACCCCCCCCCCCACCTGTCGTAGGAAATCGCCGACTATGGCCGCCTTTCTGTCTCTCTTTCCTCCACTCATAGAAGTCGTATAGCTTCCAGCAATGAAAAATGCTCTATGGCTGGAGGATGGGTGGATGAATGAAGGAAGGAGAGAAGCTACATTAACTTTTATGAATGGAGGAGGGGGGTAGAAAGGGCGGGCATAGTCGGCATTCTGGACGAGTGCCTATGACAGGTCCAGCGGCTTGTATTGGTCCCCGCAGAACCTGACGATTACTAAGGGGGGGGGGGGGGGGGTTTGTAGAGGACTGAAAAAAGCAGCCACCAGCATAAGGGACACTTCTCATTCAATACTGTCCCTTGTGCTGATATAAATAAAATAAACTTAAAGGGTTAGTTCACCTTTACAGAAAAAAAAAAATGTAAAAGGAGAACTAATACCGTACACCCAGTTCCCCCCCCCCCATCCCCACTTTATTGACCTCAGGAGTTGCTGAGCTGTCAGATCCCACACAGACGTCCCAGTGGTGGTAGTGATGTATTTAGGATCTGTGCTGCCCTAGGCAACACAAAATTCACCGACCCCCCCAGAGAGAGCCGGTGGGGGGGTTGGGGGGGGGGGGGGTTTTGGGGGGGGTGGGGGTGTGGGGGGGGGGGGGGGGGGGGGGGTTGTGGTGGGTGGGGGTTTGGGTTGGGGGGGGGGGGGGGGGGGGGGGTTGGTGGGGGGGGGGTGGGGGGGGGGGGGGGGGGGGGGTGGGGTGGGGGGTGGTTGGGGGTTGGGGGGTTGGGGGTGGGGGGGGGGGGGGTTGGGGGGTGGGGGTGGTGGGTTTGGGGGGGGGGGGTGTTGGGGGTGGTGGGGGGGGTGTGGGGGGGGGGGGTGGTGGGGGTGTGGGGGGGGGGTGGGTGTTGGGTGGGGGGGTGGGGTTTGGGGGGGGGGGGGGGTGTTGGGGGGGGGTGGGGGGGGGGGTGGGGGGGGGTGGGGGGGGGGGGGGGGGGGGGGGGGGGTGGGGGGGTGGGGGGGGGTGGGGTTGGGGGGGGGGGGGGGGGGTTGGGGGGTTTTGGGGGGGGGGGGTGTGTGGTGGGGGGGGTGGTTGGTAGTTGTGGGTGGCGGTGGTGGGGTGGGGTTGTGGTGGGGTGGTGTTGGGTTGGGGGGGTGGTGGGGGTGGTGATGGTGTTGTGTGTGGTGATGGGTTGTGGGGGTGGTGGTTGAAGGCCTGGTGTCCATTTTTATCATAGGCAGCCCAAAATGTTGCTAGCAATAGCAGCTGTAACTCTGGCATCTGTGTCACCATAACCAGAATATGCAAGTAGAGAGCCTTCATTGTTCAGGAGCCTGGAGGAAACAAAACACAGGGGGTCAGGGGGATGTGTTCCTCTACGGTCAGTTTAATCCTTGCCTGGGTTCCTGTTTAAGCCGCTGCCTCGCGTTTCGGCTTTTGTAGCATCCTATGGAGTCACCCTTGCATGCAGGGACTAGATATGTGTCCCTCTGTGCTGTGTACATCAATAGAAACACACAGCCCCATGGCCTAGGATAGGAAGGTGCTCCCCTGCTCTTCCTTCATCCTCCTTTTCCAGACTGCATTGGACTGTTAATGCTTTCCTGTGAAGACCAGAAGTTCAGGAAAGCAGCACTGAGAGTGTAGGAGCCAGAAGCATTGCCAGCTGTAAACGGCAAAGTAAGAACTTTACCAGTTTACTGGGAAATATTTATTGTATTGTGCTGAATGTGCTAAAGTGTAGGTTCACCTTTTCAGAAAAAAAAAAAATGAAAAGATGTACTAAGACCCTATATCCTCCCCACCACCCACCTCAGTGCCCGCTGTACCTACCTTCATGGGTGATGAGTTATCAGTGCTTACACAGCCGGTGTAGCCATCCAGGGATTTGAAATCCCTGCTCTTCCCCCTTTTTTTTTTTTTTTTCCTGCAGGGCTTCTGGGGTGATCAGAGTAATTCTGATTGGTCAGCGCCAGGCACAGAGACCTGCTCTGATCCATCCATCCAGCTCTACAGGAAGAAGGGGGAGAAGAGTGCGGAATTGAAATCCCCCGACCACTACACTGGTGCGGACAGCTCATCACCCGCAATGGTAAGTACAGCGGGGACTGGGGGTGGGGAGGGTGTAGGTTGTTAGTACGCCTTTTCATTTTTTTCTGAAAAGGTGAACTAACCCTTTAAATTAAAAAATACAGAGGGTTCAATACCACTTTAAGCCCTGGTTCACATCGGTGTGACTTGTCAGATCAAAGTCTGTCAGATCTGTTATTGCGCCTGCATCCTCCCCAAACTGCATGCAGGCATCCCATAGAGGTGGATGCAGAAGCTACACAAATGCAGCTGCATGCCAACATTTGACAGGCATTCAGGAGCAGGTGCATGGATCTGAACGCACACGGTCTGAGTTGTGATCCGTGCACCCGCATCCTGTGTTATTGCGCCTGCATCCTGCGCAAGCGGTGCGCAGGGAGACTATAGAGGTGGATGCAGATTCACCAGCTACATAGATGCAGCTGCATGCCAACATTTGACATGCATGCAGGAGCAGGTGCATGGATCTGAACGCGCATGGTCAGCACTGGGATCCATGCACCCACATCCTTTGTTATTGCGCCTGCATCCACCCCAAGCTGTGCGTAGGCACCCTATAGAGGTGGATGCAGCGCCTGCACAGACACAGATGCGTTTTGAAATATTAGAATTTCTGGATAAACCCTCAGCAAACTGCAATATACCATTTTTAGCATGAACACAGAGGCATTTCAGAATATGACATGCATGCAGGTGCATGGATCTGAACTCACACTGTCTCCACTGAATCCGCGCACCCACACCCTTTGCTATTGTACCTGCATCCTCCCCAAGCTGTGCGCAGGCATCCTATAGAGGTGGATGCAGACGCAGCGCCTGAACGGACACAGACGCATTTCAAAATATGACATACATGCAGGAGCAGGTGCAGGGATCTGAATGCACACGGTCTCCATTGAATCCGTGCACCCGCATCCTTTGCTATTGCGCCTGCATCCTCCCCCTTTGCGCAGGCAGCCTATAGCAGTGGAAGCAGACGCAGCGCCTGCATGGACACAGACGCATTACAAAATATGACATGCATGCAGGTGCAGGGATCTGAACGCACACAGTCTCCATTGAATCCTTTGCTATTGTGCCTGCATCCTCCCCAACCTGTGCGCAGGCATCCTATAGCAGTGGATGCAGACGCAGCGCCGACACAGACGCATTTCAAAATACGATATGCATGCAGGAGAAGGTGCATGGATCTGAACGCACACGGTCTCCACTGAATCCACGCACCCCACACCCTTTGCTATTGCGCCTGCATCCTCCCCAAGCTGTGCGCAAGCATCCTATAGAGGTGGATGCAGATGCAGCACCTGCATGGACACAGACGCATTACAAAATATGACATGCATGCATCAGGAGGTGCAGGTATCTGAACGCACACGGTCTCCATTGAATCCATGCACCCACATCCTTTGCTATTGCGCCTGCATCCTCCCCAAGCTGTGCACAGGCATCCTATAGCGGTGGATGCAGACGCAGCGCCGACACAGGCGCATTTCAAAATACGATATGCATGCAGGAGCAGGGATCTGAACGCACACGGTCTCCATTGAATCCTTTGCTATTGCGCCTGCATCCTCCCAAACCTGTGCGCAGGCATCTTATAGCGGTGGATGCAGACGCAGCGCCGACACAGGCGCATTTCAAAATATGACATGCATGCAGGTGCAGAGATCTGAACGCACACGGTCTACATTGGGATCTGTGCGCCCACTACTGTATGCCTGTCATATCTTGACATGCGGCTGTGCCCGTGCAGGCGTTGCATCTGCATCCACCGCACAGCATGGGGAGGATGCAGGCGCAACAGCAAAGGGTGCAGGTGCTCTGATCCCAATGCCAACCGTGTGCGTTCAGATCCATGGAACAGCTCCTGCATGCATGACATATGTTGGCATGTGGCAGCGTCCATGTAGCTGCCACATCTACCTCTATAGGCTGCCTGCGCGCAGTTCAGTGAGGATGCAGGCGCAATAACAGAAGGCGCTCGCAAGCAGCACCCGTCTGAACGAACCCCGAAGGTGGCGGTACCCCCAGAAGGGGGTTTTAAAAGTGCACCTGTTGCTTGGGTGTACCAGTGGTGTGCATTGCTCACCCCCTGATCTCTACCTCCTCTCTCAGGTAGCCATGGCGATGCCCCCCTCATTTTCTGTTTCTCCTGGGGTTCCCCTTTGTAAACATTGGGCCTACAGGGCCAGGAGGGGAGAAGGGAAGGGTCATACTCACAGAGTGCTCTGCACACCCCCAGTGTTGGCCTGGCTGAGCACCTGGGTCAGAGCTTTGGGCCTCAACATACTAGTCCAGCACACTGCTTCAGCAGAATGAGACACCACTCAGCTGCCTCTCCTTCCTGCAGTCACAGGATGCAATCATGTGACCTGACCCCTCCCAGTCCACCTCCCCAGCCTTCTAAATTACCGCCCAAAATTCACCCAGGGGAGCCTTGTGCCACTCAGGGGCAAAGAAACATATCGCTGGTGGTGGAAAATGTCAGAATAAAAGAGCTTTTAAAATCAACTTTAGCCTTAGGCCTGAGTTGCCGTAGTAACGCGCTAGGCCCTGGAACGCACGGTGCGCCTCAAGCCTCAGCTTGGGGGACGCAAGGCGGCGATTGGCCAAGCCGTCTTGGTAGCGCGCGAACGATGCGGGCCGAACCTCCGTTTGAAGAAAGAGCTGACGGCTGATTGGTCGGCTGGTGTGTCGTGAGCTGTGTGCGTTTCGCGCCTCGTTTGGAAGTAGCGCGGCGATTGGCCGAGATAGGATCGGCTGGTGCTGAGGATGACGCAGCACATGCAGAGAGGCGTGGATTCCTCCGGGCCGCTAGGGGGTCGCTGCAGCGGCGTCAGACAAAGCGCGGCGGGCTCGTTCTCGTGCGTTCCTCCTCTGGGTGGGCGGGTGTGCAGAAGATGGCGGAGAGCGGCGCTGACGGTGCGCCGGGTAACGGCCTGATTCGGGTCACGGGTGAAGACACCCAAAGACAAGGAGGAGATTGTGATAGGGGAGACGGCCAGCGTCAAAGAGGTGAGGGGGGCGGGGAGCTCTGAGCTGAGGTCTACCATTGGAGCACATGGGCTGCTGTTACCCGGAGCAACCTGGTCCTGGGGCTGCTGACGAGTAAATACAGTTGCTATGGGCAACAGGTCCTCACGTGACCCTGTTCTCATAGGCTGTTGCCCAGAGCAACCATTTTTAAAATTCAGAGGAGGTGGGGAGGCCTCGTTGGTTGCTAAGGGCAACTGCTGTATGTTTATATTGCATTATTTGGCAATTTTGTGCTTTGCTATTGGCAGAGGTGGGGGAGGGGTCAGTGAGTGACATTGGGGTCTGTATGGGGGGTGAAGGGTGTTGGGGATCCTTCCAGATTTCATATATCCTTGCCTGGATCTGTCTTGGGGCCCCAAAGTGGTCACTAGGTAGGTGAGGGGTGTCTAAAGTTCACACAAGGGTTGTGGGGTGCCTTGGGTCTCCAGGGTGGTCCCCTTGGGTGTGGGGTAGCTGGTCTTTGGGTCCCTGGATGGGTCATTTTAGGCTGCAGGGTTCCTTGGGTCCTCATATGGTGTGCCTTCTGCTCCTGGATGGGTCATCTTGTGCTATGGGGTACCTTAGGTACTCAGATGGGGTGACTGGGAGTGTGGGTGGCTTTGGGTCCCTGGGTGGGTCGTTAGTGGCTGCAGGGTACCTCGGGTCCTCATATGGTGTGCCTTCTGCTCCTGGATGGGTCATCTTGGGATATGGGGTGACTGGGAGTGTGGGTGGCCTTGGGTCCCTGGATTGGGTCATTTGAGGCTGCAGGGCACCTCGGGTTATCATATGGTGTGCCTTCTGCTCCTGGATGGGTCATCTTGGGCTATGGGGTACCTTAGGTACTCAGATGGGGTGACTAAGAGTGTGGGCTGCCTTGGGTCCCTGGGTGGGTCGCTAGTGGCAGCAGGGTACCTTGGGTCCCCATATGGTGTGCCTTCTGCTCCTGGATGGGTCATATTAGATGTGGAGGATCACCTTGGGGTGTCTTGGGGCATTTGAGGATGCCAAGCAAAGGATGGGTCACCAGCACACCAAGGAACTCTGTAAAGGGTCCAAAGCTTTGTTGAACGATCACAGTAAAGCATAGCAACATTTTAAATCCACACAGGACCCTCTTCATCAGGCATGTAGTATGAGGCTGCAGGGTACCTTAGGTCCTCAGATTGGTTTCCTTGGGTTCCTGCATGGTTCATTTGGGGCACCTTGTGTGCTAATTGATTTTTCTGAGTGTGCTGTGTCTTGGGTTCCCAGACAGGTCATCTAGGGCCACAGGGTACCTTGAGTCTTCAGATGGGGTGGCTGGGATTGTGGGAATCCTTGGGTTTCTGGATCATCTTGGGCTATGGGGTACCTTAGGTACACAGGTGGGGTGCTTTGGGTTTCTGGATGGGCCATCTTGGGCTATGGGGTACCTTAGGTACTCAGATGGGGTGACTGGGAGTGTGGGCTGCCTTGGGTCCCTGGATAAGTAGTTAGTGGCTGCAGCGTACCTTGGGTCCTCCTATGGTGTGCCTTATGCCCCTGGATGGGTCATATTGGGTGTAGAGTGCCTGGTGTGGAGGATCACTTTTGGGTGCCTTGGGACATTTAAGGCTGTCAAGCAAAGGATGGGTCACCAGCACACCAAGGAACTCCGTAATGGGTCCAAAGCTTTGTTGAACGATCACATCAAAGCAAAGCACGGCAACATTTTAAAGCCACACAGGACCCCCTTCATCAGGCATGTAGTATGAGGCTGCAGGGTACCTTGGGTTCTCAGATGGGTTTCTGCATGGGTTATTTTGGGCTCATCGGGTACCTTGAGCCTTCAGATGGGGTGACTGGGATTGTGGGAATCCTTGGGTTCCTGAGTGGGTCATCTCAAGCCATGGGGTACCTTAGTTACTCAGATGGGGTAACTGGGAGTGTGGGGTGCTTTGTGTTCCTGCATGGATCATCCTTGGCCATGGGGCACATTAGGTACTCAGATGGGGTGACTGGGAATGTGGAGTGCTTTGGGTTCCTGGATGGGTCATGGGGTACTGTGGGTAGTAGATAGCTTGTCTGAAAATGTGTGCTACCTTGGGTCCACAGGTGGGGCATCTGGGTTAGATGGAGTGCCTAGGGTACCTTGGGTTCCCAGACAGGTAATCTAGGACTGCAGGGTACATTGAGTCCTCAGATGGGTTGACTGGAATTGTTGGGGTGCCTTGGGTCCCTGGATGGGTCGTTTAAGGCTCCAGGGTGCTTTGAGTCCTTAGATGGGTCTTCAGGGGTCATGGGGTACCGTGGGTGGTAGATGGCTCGTCTGAAAATGTGCAGAGCCTTGGGTCCACAGATGGGTCATCTGGGTTAGATGGATTGCCTAGGGTACCATGGGTCCTCAGATGGAGTGTCTGGGATTGTGGGGTGTCTTGGGCCCTTGGATGGGTCATTTGAGACTGCAGGGTACATTTGGCCCTCTGATGGGTTGACTGGGAGTGTGTGTGTTACTGTAGGTTCCCGTTCATTTTCAGGCACAGGGTGCTTTGGGTCCCCAGACAGGTTTACTGTGTCCCTGGTGCCACAGACTACCTTGGATTTTCTAATGGCTTGTTTGTGACTGTGGGGTACATGGATTCCTCTGGGGGCTTATGTGGGATCGTAGGGTGCCTTTGGTTCCTAGATGGGTCATTTTGGGCCACTGGGTACCTTGGCTGTGTAGATGGCTTGTCCGAGAATGTGCTGGGCCTTGGGTCACCAGATGGAATGACTGGGAGTGTGGGGTGCCCTGGGCCCCTGGATGGGTCGTTTTGAGGCTGCAGGGTACCTGGGGTTCCTACTTGGGTCATTTTGGGCCACAGGATACCTTGTGTACAGATGGAGTGTGTAGGATATTTTGGGTTTCTGGATGGGTCATATGGGACCACAGAGTACGTTTGGTCTTCAGATGGTGTATCTGGGAGTGTAATTTCTTGGAGGGGCCATCTGCAGATACTGGGTATCTTGGATCCCCAGTTGGGTCTATTGGGACTGCTGGTTGCTTTGGTTTTCTGGATGGGCTATCTGGGACAACGTGTTTCCCTGGGTTCTTATAAGATCTTGGAGTGTTTGGTGCTTTGGGTCCCCAGATGGGTCATCGGGGTACCTTGGGTCCTCAGATGATGTGCCTGGCAGTGAAGGGTGCAATAGGGTTCCTGAATGGGTTGTTCAGCACTGCAGGGTACCTTGGGTCTTCAGATGAGGTTTGTGGCATGCCTGGGAGAGGGGGTTGCCATTGGGTTCCTGAATAAGTCATCAGGCTACCTGTGGAAATTATGAGGTGGGGTGGGGTTCCTTGGATTCTTGGATGGCTCATCTGGAGCAGATTAAGTGCCTGGGTGGGTCACTTAGGCTCACAGAGTACCTGGGGTCTTCAGATGGCTTGTCTGGCAATGTGGGGTGTCTTGGGTCTCCAAATGGGTGATCTGGTGCTGTGAAGAATCTTGAGTCCTCAGAGTGTCTGAGAGATTGGGGTGCCATTGGGTTCTTGGATAAGTCATCTTAGGCTACAAGGACTTTGCTTCCCTAAATGGGTTTACTGGGAGTGTGGGGTCCCTGGTGCCACACAGTACCTTAGATCCTCAGTTGGCTTTTGTGGGAATGTAGGGTACCTGGGGTCCCCAGGTGGCTTGTGTGGGAATGTAGGGTGCCTTGGTTTCTTGGACGACCTGTTTCTCTGGCCACAGAGTACCCTTAGGTCTTCAGATTGGGGGGGGGGGGGGGGGTATCTTGAGTTTCTGGACAGGTCATCTGCAGACGCAGGGGGGTTTATTTACTAAAGCTGGAGAGTCCAAAATCAGACTCCCTTCTGCATAGAAACCAATCAGCTTCCAGGTTTCATTGCCAAAGCTTCATTGAACAAGCTGAGGTTAGAAGCTGATTGGTTTCTATGCAGAAGGGAGTCTGATTTTGGACTCTCCAGCTTTAGTAAATAAACCCCAGGGTGTCTTCGTTCCATATATGGGTTTAGTGGGAGTGTAGGGGGCCTGGGGGCCCTGCACAGCTTATCTGGGGGGCATGGGCTTCCTGATTTCCCAGATAAGTTTTCTCGGGTACTGGAGAACCCTCAAGTCCCTAGACAGGTCTCCTGGGAGCATGGAGTGTCTTGAGACCCAAGATGGATCATCTGGAATTGCAGGATGTATCAGGTCTTCTGGGATCTTCCTGATTTTTTTTTCCCTGGGGGTTCTAAGAAAGGGAAGGCGTTGATGGCACAGATTTGTAATAATGAAAAGGTGGCATTCTCACCAATAGCAGCCAGTAAGGTTTC